GTATACACCCAAGAAAAGTGAAAACATACGTCCACACAAAAACTTGTACCCAGGAGTTCATCGGCATTAATTGTAGTGCTGGAAACATTACAAATATGCATCAATGATGAATGAATAAACAAAAAGTGTTATGTCCATACAATGGAATATTATTCAACCATGAAGAGAAATGGAGTACTGACTTGTGCTACGATGCACATTGAAAACATTATACTGAGTGAAAGAAGCCAGACACAGAGAACCACCTATGGTATGATTCCATTCATATGAAATGCCCAGAACAGGCAAATCCACAGGGACAGAAAGTACATGAGTGGTTGCCAGAAGCTAGAAGGAGGGAAGAATGGAAAGTGGCTGCTAATGGGTCCAGGGTTTCTTTTGGGGATGCAAATGTTCTAAACTTGATTGTGGTGGTGATGATTGCACAACTCTAAATATATTAAGACCATTGAATTGTGCCCTTTAAATTGGTGAGTTGTATGGTATGTGAATCATAAAAATCAAGTGATTTTTTAAAAACCTCAACATTAAAAACACAATATCCAATTAGAAAATGGGCAAAAGACATGCATAGACATTTCACCAAAGAGGATATACAGATAGCAAATAACCACACGAAAAGATGTTCATCATCTTTTCAAAATCCAAATTTGAGAAATGCAAATTAACACCACAGTGAGATATCACTCTACACCTACTGGCCTGGCTAAAATAAAAAAATCATGACAACACTGAATAGGCGAGCGTAGGGAGAAAGTGGACCCCCCCCACATACACACACATTGCTGGAAGTCGTTTGGCAGTTCCTCTGAACACTAATGGTGGCCTCACCGTATGGCCCAGCAATGGCACTCTTGGGTACATATCCCACAGAAAGCAAAGTAGGTACAGAAACATGTATACAAATGTTCACAGAAACTGTGCATCATAACTCAAACCTGGAAACTCCCCAGATGTCCTTCAGTGGGTGAACAGTCAGGTAAACAGAGCTACATCCAGACCATAGATTACTACTCAGTCCTAAAAAGAAACGGGCAATTGATTCACTCAATAACCTGATGACCCTAGAAATTATGCTGAGTGGGAAAAGCCAGTCTCAAAGGATATATACAGTATGATTCCATTTATAAGACATTCGTGAAATAACATAATCAGAGATATGGAGACCAGGTTAGTGGTTGCCAGGGGTGGCTGTGGCCATAAAGGGGGAGCGCGGGAGCCTTGTGGTGATGGTACAGTAAAATGCCTTGATTGCGGTGGTGACTACAAGCAGCTACACATGGGATGAGATTGATAGTACTGTACACACACACACACACACACACACACACACACATGTGTGAGCCCATGTCAAATTGGTGAGGTCTGGATGAGCTCGGGATTATCTGAAGGTCAGTTTCCTGATTTTGATATTGTACCCCAGTTCCGCACGGTGCTAATTCCAGTGGGAGGAACTGGGTGAAGGGTGCACAACACCCCCCTGTACATTGCCTGCAACCTCCTGTGAATTCATAAGTATTTCAAAATAAAACGTTTTATAAATGAATAATTAAATAAACTTTTGAGAGCCAGCAGAGTGCTAAACACCAGGCCTGGTGCTGGAGGTAACCGTGGAGAACAGAAGATACCCACACAGACCCTGTGTTTGGCAGTTCGTTTATGTTATTGAATGATAAAATGGAATTTCTTTAGAAGAAAAATCTACTGGCTTTCAGTTGTTTGTGGATATTTCATTTTGACATTGGGGTTGCAAATGCTAGAAGCCATTCTGGCGCATGTGCACCTGACATCTCTACCCTGTCGCGACTTGGCCTTGGTGATGAGTCATAAGGTGAAAGACTTCCTTTTCTCTAGGCAGAGGAAGAGTCCCATTATTGTCACTTGTCACCTCAGATGAGCCAGGTGCAGCTGGCTGATACCCACTCCCTCTCTTCACCCTTTGAAAGAAAACATGGTTAGACAGGGTCTGGCTTTTGCTGAGGGACCCTGGAGACTGGACACAGTGGAGGGGGTCTCTGCTCGCACTTTTCAAAGGTGACCCGCTGAAACTGGCATCTATTAACCAGAGGTGCCGGCTGGCGGGGTCCCTGCCAAGGGCAGAGCAGGTGCTGGACCTGCTCTGGACCTGTTCCCAAGGCTCTTTCTGCAGCTGGGTTGAGTGGGTAAAGGGTGATGTGGTCCCCTCAGCAGTGAACGGCAAGGAGGTTTGTCACCTGTGCCCGGCAGGGCTGCAAGCAGATTCTAAAGCAGCGTGAGCCAAGAGGACACTGGAAACCAGTCAGGTTTAGAGAAATTTACAGAGAATCTTAGAAAATTAGAGAAAATTTTAGAGAACCTTTATAGTTTCTCTTCTTACCGAAAACTCGTAGATGCTCATAAAAAAAAACCCATAATACAAGCAGTGAAATTCAGTCCATTCTGTGTGTGTGCATTTTTCTTTGTTTAATAATGGCTTTATTGAGATGTATTCATATAATGGATCGTATATTATAAATTCACCCATTTAAAGTGCACGATTCAATGATCTTGGTGTAGTCAGTCATGCAAGCCTCATCACAGTCAATTTAAGAGCACTTTCATCACCTCAAAAAAGAAACCCGTGTTGCACGATGTGAATGTACTTAATGCTACTGATTGTACATTTTAAAACGGTTAAAATGCTAAATTTTGTGGGTTTTATAGACAATAAAAAAAGAAGCTTCATACGGTTTAGTATCATCCCCTCTCGCCTTTCCTCCCAGCCCTAAGCAACCTCCAGTGCAATGTCTGTAATGTCTGGAGATTTGCTCCCAGAAGGCCTGGTCACCCAGCTGCCCTTTCAGAGCCCTCCCTGTGCGCCTGGCACACAGCGCGCTGGGCTGGGTGCTGAGGGAGACTCAAAAGGGGGCCACGGTCTGGCCCTGGCATGCAGGAGTTCCCTGGGGGGCGGGGAGGGAGGGTGGGGACGCCTTGGTGTGAAGGGGTGTAATTCCCACCATGGGACAGGGGAGGTGTGGGCAGATAGCTGAGGCCGACGCAGGAGAGGTCTAAAGAAACAAACACGAGCCTTGGCCCTCACTTGTGACTTTAAAAATCTACAGTTCTAACAGTAAAAAAGTGATTGGCCACTATGTCTAGAATTCTGCTTACCCCACCCCCGGCCACCCCCTCCGCTCCGGAAATGAATAAGCCCTGGTCCCTGCCCTCGAGTTGCCGACCAGCAAACAGAGGGTCCAGTAAACTAAATCTAAAATAAGTCTCGGCTTTATAAAAAGTGCCAGAGGGCACAGAAGAGAAAGTGACTGGCTTCATCTTAAAGGTTTCATCTGTGTTGTACAAAGGTCAGACCATGTCTCCGCGGTGCGGGAAAGCTGCTAAGGGTTGAGCACAGCCTGTGCAGAAGGCTAGGCTTTCTGTGTGCATCGCCACTAAGCCCTCTTGAGGGTTCATGAGAAAGGTCTTCATGTTCCCATTTGAAAGATGGAACCGCCTCTCTACCTCTCATTGGCTACAGGTCTTTGGCCCTAGGCTCCCTTGGCCAGTCCCTGCCGCTTCTTGAAGAGAGTCGGCGATGCACCAAATGTCAGCACTAGATGGCGCTGTGGGCCGCCGCACCGCTATTACCTAAGTCACAGAATGTTTCTCAGACTTCAGTCATTTATAAGCATCTTCAGAGTACCTCCCATGCTATGATCTACTATTTAATATTTTTCTTTAAACTTACTTTAAATTTTTTTATATTTATCCTAATACGAAACTATTCTCTTTCTGCCATAAACAGAAATGAATGTAAACTTTTTCCAAAAAAAAATCATGTTAACTGTTTAGAACAGTGTCTAGTCTATAGAAAGGAGGAGAATATAAAAATAAAGCTATTAGAATAAAACCTGTTGGCCCTTTCCCCCTACAACCATCTTGCAGATCACCAATACAGTGGCATGCTGTCCTAGGCTTTGAAAACCGGAGGGCTGGCTGATGTCACGCGGATGCACGTGTACTTAGGGTTGGAAGGTCTCCTTCCTTTTGCAGGTGTAGGAACTGAGGTGCTGGGAGGGGGAGGGAGGTACCGAGAGCCACACTATTGATCCCAGGGCCAGGGCCAGGCCTGGGACCGGGTCCTGCCTTCCCCTTCCACCACATAGACGCTAGAAGAGCCTCAGGAAATTGGAACTGAAGTGTGAGGCACGCATGTTTCTTGGCCTCTCTGATGCCTGAGAAAGTTCACTGTGAGGGCCCCCAGCTCAGGGAGTGTCCCTGTTGGGCATATGGAACCCAGGGACGAGAGTCAGGAGTCGTGGGGGTAGATGGCGGCCGAGACCACTGGTGAGCAGCTAGCTCAGCTTCTCTGGGCCCCTTGCCCTAAGCATCCGAAGCAGGACATGGTGTGGTGCCACATTTTCTGGTCAGTGCACCCCCAGTTTCAGTCCCTGACTGCCACTTCCTGGCACCCTTGAGGAGCCACAGCCACCCCGGGATGGGATCTTGGACAAGTGCTTTGATCCCCCTTCCTTGTCAGAGTTGGCAAACTTCGGGGTCACCCTCGCCCTTGGGAAACCCGTGCTGCACAATCAAATGAGGCTTTAATAGACCCTCGTGTGTGAACGACCAGCGGCCCCAGTTCAGTGCCTCTGGACCAGTGGACCTCCCAGAAGCCAAGAGAGAACTGGGCAACTGTTCTCCTGCTGGCCCCCTCACAGTCCTCAGAATTGTCAAGTTGAAATGACCCTGATCAATTAAATGTTTTATTCTGCTTTTACAATCTAGAGGCTTATATGTTGTTTTACCCAAAATGATGAGTGTTAAGACACTCATCACCAGCTGCTGTAGTACATAGTCCCCCCCAAAACATCTCAGTGGATTAACACCACAGAAGTTCATTTTTCACTTGCCTGGATCCAATTGGCAGCTGATGTGTGTGCAACTGTGGCAGGCCAGGCTCTGCAGTCGTGAGCTTGGTGGACACAGCCCCTCCTTCCTTCTGACGGCGATACTCATCCAAGGCCTTTGCCATCTCTCCTCAGTATTGTACCTGGAAGGCTCTGTTCTTGTGTTTGAGGACATCTTCAGACTGATCGCGTTCTACTGTGTCAGTAGGTGAGTACCCTGGCCCCACAGGAGGGCAGCTGGCTGCAACCTTGGGTGGGGGTGGGGAGTCACAGGGAAGCCCCCAGGGGAAAGAGTGCAGCCCACAGGATGCAGAGAGAGAGGACAGTCCCTGGCTTTGCCCTGGTGACCATGAAGGGAGATGTTGGTTCTGCTGCTTTTTTGGACCTGCAGGTACAGACCCCTCCCTCACTACCACCTGCCCCCGGCTCACTGCCCATCACTCCAA